CCTAGGAACTCTCGGAGTTCTGTCACGTTCTGTGGTGCGTTCAGGGCTGATATGGCTGCTGTCTTCTGTGGATCTGGTTGTACTCCATCTTTGCTGAAGACAAGGCCGTAGAATCTCACTCGGTCTTGCTTGATGTGGCATTTGTTCCAGTTCAGGACGAGTCCATGCTCCTTTGCGACGCGCATCAGGTTGTGTAAGTTGGCGTCATGTTCCACTGCCGTCTTTCCTACGACTGCTATATCATCGGCCATTCCTATGACTCCAGGACATTTCTCTAGTATTTGGTTCATTCGTTGCTGGAACACGTCCTGAGAAACACACAAGCCAAAAGGTAGTCTTTTGAAACGGTAACAACCAAAGGGACTATTGAAGGTCGTCAAATGGCTTGATTCTTCATCTAGCTGTATAGCCCAATATCCATGTCTGGCATCCAGGGTACTGAACACTGTTGCTCCTTCAAACTGGTGCCGGACTTCTTCAATGGTTGGCATCGGCATATGGCTTCTCTTGATTACCATATTCAAGTCTTTTGGGTCAAGGCAAATTCTCCATCTTCCATTGGGCTTCTGGGTGTATGCCAAGCTTGATACCCAGTCTGTTGGCTTAGTGACACTTTCTATCACTTCAAGACTCTCCATCTCATCAAGTTCTTTCTTGATGTCATCCTTTATGCCTATCGGGCATCGTTGAGCTGCATGTATTACAGGAGCCGCATCTTTGTCGATCACGATGTGGTATTTCCCATCAAATCTATCGGGATACAAAGTCTTCAAATGCTCTCTATCTTTGATGGGACCAGCATGGCTCTCCATCAGACTGCAATTCAAGACTACTAATCCAAGATCCAGGCACAACTCAAGTCCAAGGATGGCCGGTCTTTGAGTCTTCACCACAAAGAATTCTGCATTTGCTTGTCTGTCCTGGTGGTTACAGCTCAGCATATGTAGGCCTACTTGTGGAATAACACTCTTTTCACCATAGCCTGTTATCGTTATCGGTGACTTTCTTAGCTTTCCTGTGATAGGTTCCCCATTAGAGTCCAAGTGATCAGGGTACATCTTCTGATAAATGCGTAATGGAAGAATGTTCCCTTCAGATCCTGTGTCAACTTTGGCTTTTAGAGTTGCTGGTCCTCTTCCGATCTCAACTCCGATCACAGCGAAGGCTTCGTTCTTTCTGATCTGGTCTACACAGATGGTCTCAAACCGCATGTCGTCAGTTTCTTCTGTTTCTTCCTCTTCTTTCATCTCATGGAGTCTCTTTGATCTCTGTGCTTGCGACCTTTTCGGATATGTCTTTGTACCTTGTTTCCTTTGCCACTGCTGTTTAGATTCTTGTTCCTGTTTCTTCAGTCGGCAGCATTTCTCCCAGTGATTCATTTTATCAGTTTCTGCATTTGGTGCCATAAGCAGGGCACTTCCTCGGTGGATGGTTCAGTCCACAGAATGAGCACTGTTTCTTCCTTTGGATATGTTGCTTCGTCATATCAACGTTGACGGCTTGACCATGAAGGAGTCTCATATCCGCCTCAGTTGCCTCCTGGGTTCTGGCGATGTCCAAAGCTGTATTTAACGTCAGTTTCTCATCCTTGGCCAACAATGTTTGCTGTACCTTCTTGCTTGAGGTGCCAATCTGGTGACGAGGTGACGATCTGTTCTATGAGGCGACCTTCAAGTTCAATGTCCGCAAACTTGCATTTTTGTATTTTGCATCTGGCCATGAAGTCGTCTATGGCTTCGGCTGGTTCCTGTGCCAACTTCTGCAGCTGAAATCTTGCCAGACGGAAATTGGTCTTTGGTTCGAAATGTTTTATGAAAGCTTTGAAGACCTCAGCTGGGGTCTTGAAGTCCTTTCCCCAGGATTTGTGAATCCTGATACCCTCTTGACCCAGCCACAACAGGATGTATGTACATTTCTCTTGGTCAGACTTCTTGTTAAGCGGCCCTGAAAATATCAACTCACAATAGTATTGAAAATTTCTAAATTCAGTCGGCAAATCTTTGGATGCCCAATCCATGCAGGGAGGGTTGATTCCTGTCATCTCTCCCATGTTGTTTGTTTGTGTGTGTGACTTTGTTAAACAGCCAATAAAATCTAATATAGCCTAGAAGTCTAAGTCACATAAAAAAACTAGATGGAATTTTGACTGCGCGCAGTCGAAAATGATGCCTCCGCCATAGAGCAATTTAAACAAGTTTGGAGTTTAAATCTCCAGTGGTTCTTGAGATATCATGATAACAATCTCAATGTATGGAATTTCATAAGTTGACCTCTGTGACCCTTGACCTTTGACCTATGTGCTCCAAAATCTAATCAGATTGTCTTCCTATGGTGATACACACTATCATTAAGTTTGAAGTTTAAATCTCCAGTGGTTCTTGAGATATTATGATAACAATCTCAATGTATGGAATTTCATAAGTTGACCTCTGTGACCCTTGACCTTTGACCTACGTGCTCCAAAATCTAATCAGATCGTCTTCCTATGGTGACACATACTATCCTTAAGTTTGAAGTTTTTACATTTCCAGTGGTTCTTGAGATATCATGATAACAATCTCAATGTATGGAATTTCATAAGTTGACCTCTATGACCCTTGACCTTGACCTACGTGCTCCAAAATGTAATCAGATTGTTTTCCTATAGTGATACACACTATCACTAAGTTTGAAGTTTAAATCTCCAGTGGTTCTTGAGATATCATGATAACAATCTCAATGTATGGAATTTCATAAGTTGACCTCTGTGACCCTTGACCTTTGACATACGTGCTCCACAATCTAATCAGATCGTCTTCCTATGGTGATACATACTATCCTTAAGTTTGAAGTTTAAATCTCAAATGGTTCTTGAGATATCGCGCTAACAAACTCAATACAAGGAATTTCATAAGTTGACCTCTGTGACCTGTGACCTTTGACCTACGTACTCCAAAATCTAATCAGATCGTCTTCCTATGGTGATAAATACTATTCCCGAGTCTTAAGTTTAAATCTTAAATGGTTCTTGAGATATTGTGATAACGGTCAAACGGGACGGACGTACGGACGGACAACCCGAAAACATGATGCCTCCGGCACCACCTTCGGTGGCGGAGGCATAAAAAACTACTACTAGTACTACTAGATCTAGTCATATTCAGCCTTATACATAAAGGAGTAAGGTCATATAGTGTGCCTTATCCTAAAATTCATATAGGAGTAGGGTTACATTAAAATTCACACCCTATCCTGTGTTATCAATACTGCAATGAGACAAAATATCTATGGCATTCGTTATACTGCATCCCAAAAAACATCATCAATAATACAATTCTAAAGCAATTTATTCCTTTGCCAGTCCAACTCTTCCATAAACTGAGTCTCTATTAAATATAAGCCGGTCCTTCAATACTATCCATGGATTTACTCACATTAAATGATCTTGGTCAGGTTGGTGATTAATCAACTACCGTAGACCTATTCTATTCAAACATGTGCAAATAATGAATTCAGCAAAGCGTCCATTATTTCAAAAATGTTGAATCTTGATTAAAATCTAGTGTCTCTCAGTTCAAGTTCATATCTTATTCCACGGAGATCTGTATTCCCAGGTTTCACTCTCATATAGGTCTATGTAGGTGTCGAGGTGTCCAGCTCCAGCGACGTCGTCGATCCTCCCGATGAGCTCCGAGTCCGTGTGGCTCAGTTCCAAACCAAAATGCAGGGCTGGGAGTATAGCGCCCTAGCTGTACTGTACTGTTCCCGGTCCCGGTCGAGCCTCTAGGCTCTGCTCCTGGCGAGCCTCTAGGCTTTGGTTCTGCCTCCGCATCAGTTCTGGTCCTGAATGTAGGGCAAATAATCACTTCTCGATCAGTGCTGTGCTATCGGACGGTAGGCCTATTATGGTGAAAGTCACTCGGTCTCAGTTCGTATGGGGTTTAAAATCTCATATTTGCGACTCACCAAATAATCAGTGTCATTTTCTGCAGTACTCAAACGTCCCTCAAATATATCGCTGACCTGTTCAGAGCTTCACCTTTCTCAGTTCATAATTCATCTCAGCGGAATATCAGTCCAAATTCGTTGTAGAGGAAAACTAACTTGGTCAAATCGCGAAGTTTCCGTCATTCACAATGTAAACAATCGACTCACGTACTGTTCAGTTCGAAATTCCTCCGCGGTTAGTGCGCATAATTTCTCGTACGTGCTAGTCAGTTCCATACCGCATATTTACACACGAGCCAAAATAGCACAGGGGGTCGATGCGCGTAAACGAAATCCCAACCTAGGCCTGGCCGGTAAACGGTGCTTAAATTGTCCATAAAATCCAAATCCGGGCTCCACCTGCACTCAAAACGGTCTAGCAAAGTCCTTGCACCGCTGCCACCATGTAAAGTGTTGTACACTAATTATGATTTATAATAAGAGTCTTCTTGAGGCTGGATTTTGTAGAACTCAACTAAGAACAACTTGTTCTATTTATTAGATGTATGTGAAGCCGCATTACAATCTGCAGTAGCAATAATCATGGGCATATGATATAGGTCATTTGTTGAACATATATACATGTAGATATAAAATGATATCATATCACAAGTACGTAGATGTTCAAATTTTCAGCATGGAATGATAACTACAATAGTTTTATTCACCATTAAAGCATGAGAAAAGAGCCCAGCAAACGTAAGAAACATACATTTTTGACATTTTGGGCTTCCCATAATTTTAGCACATACTTAACTAATTAATTAAGTTAAACCAGAGTTCAGAATACGGGCCAATAAGATCGTACTTTCGAGAGTTTAACCCATTCACAATAGGGAGGGCAAAAGATTTACATTGTAGTTGTTTTGAAGCCAACTAGATCTTTAGCATGATTTCCACTGCTCCATATGCTCTGCTCCCCTCCAGCTTCATTTCCTTATCAACACCCCTAAAAAGTAGCAGTCACTTTAGGTCTAAGATTTTCAAATTTATTTTATATTCTCTCTTAGTTTTTTTCTGTTTGTATACCTTACCTGCACATGCTGTTAAGCAGGTATTCCAAAATGAGAATAGAAATCATTCCAGAAATACTGGTGTCGTTCTTCTTTTCCAAGAAGGAATATTTGAATATCCCATTCTGCCTCTCCAGTCCGTTGTTGGTGTTGACCTGAACTCCTTTGTTGCAATGTTTTCCCCATACCCAGCGCTGAAATATAAAACGGATGTATAATCAATTTGTTGTCTTTGTTCAGGAAATAATTATATCATTGATGATTTTACTTTCATGTATCCAATAGGACAAAATAATTTCATGCATTCTTTACAACCCACTGTGATTTTAGGCCTGTGAACTACTTGTGAAATTACAGTAAGATCGTCTTCCTATATATATGATGATACATAGTACCGATTTGCAGTTTTTACCTCAGACATGGTTCTCAAGATATCTTGTGAACAAAAAGAATGATGGACGGACAAGCCCAAAACATAATTTCTTCAGTACAATCTTAAGTTGGCAGAGGCATTAAAATAGCTACATGTATTGGTTTGAGTAATGTGATTAAAAACGTAATACTTATATAATATTGACTGGCCTTGAGGGGTATATCAGAAATATTGACCAAGCTCAGATCATATTGCCCCCGAGTCGAAAGACGAGGGCAATATGGTCTTAGCGCGGTCAATATTTCTGATATCCCCTGAAAGTAAAGCCAGTCTATATTTGTATTGTTATCCAAATCAGACATCTAGAGCAAATACAGAAATCCACCATGACAATCTCAAGAACTGAACAAACTTTGTCAAACCAGCACTGTGCATCTAGTGCTTGACACAATTTTCGATACACTGCAAACAGTGTGCATTTGGCGGGATTATTACGTCACAATAGAGTGCGCGCAAAGTGCTCAGGTTCTCGTACGCATAATAGATGCGCAATGAAAATGACAAAATACGGCGCGGTCAATACAAGATGCCCGGATGCGAGACCGTGGAAAATACCAAGGTATATTTTCACTCGTCTCTACACGCAAAGTCAATACGCGCAGGGAGACCAAGGAAAATACAAAGAATATACCCCTCCGTTCCCACTGCTAGTGAAAACTAGGGCAATACGGTTTTGTAAATGACTAGCTCAGATGTCTGATACGGGTAATAATGGATCATATCACATTCCACGATATTCCAGTTTGAAACTTGGCACCACCAGTTTTTAAAAGATAGAATGAAACTGTGTGGCAAAAGTTTCATAGAAGGACAGACACTGCTTCTTTCTTACCTTAGAATGCGGAATCCACTGTTTGGTGAACCACTTCTGTAGTTTCGGGTTTTCCTGCCATTCTTTAGAAGCCTTGAGGTATTCCAATGCAGCATTGTACTCTGATGGCTCAGTGGCATGGGCACATCTTCTCAGCATGGAGAGCACTTTCTGCTTGCACGAAGCAACACCATTTTCTATCTTCCGGACCCATCGTGTCCATGCTTGTTCCCTGTGAAAATCACAGAGAAAGACAGTGCATGCTGCAAAAAAATAATAAACAAAACAAAAGTACATCGTTATAATTGAGTTAGCGAGATCACAAAAATCTGAAAGAAAGAAATAAGAAGAAGAAAAAGATTCTGACAAAAACAAGAGGTGATCTGCGATAGTAAAATAAAACAAAAGTACATCATCTACATATGTCTTGAATACAAACAAATCTTATTATGATTCAGTAACCATTTTTTGTATTTTATGACCATGCAAAGAGATTTCTAAATGCATCATCAACACATATATAGGGCCAGTACAATGTTATTGCTGAAGAAAACCCTGATAGACAATGCATTTAAAATTGATGGCATATCTTATCACTCTACAGATTTAAAGATTTTAATCATTCAGTATAATTACATTTCAATTGATCCTTAAATTGAACTTGTATTTTCAAAGACTGCAACAAATATTGTGAAGAAACGTACAATACTTTTATCATTGCTATTACCTGGAAAGATCTGTTCGATGGCATTGATTTCACGTTCTGAAAAATCCGTCATAAAAAATTACAGATTCCATGCAATGCCTTCCTCAGACATCCATTTCTGGATGGTACACAATCCCTGCTTGATTGCTGCAGTGGTCTCAAATTGTACGACAAACTCCCCAACTACACTATAACCGTAGTTGGTTTTCACCGCCAAAAAGAACAAGGGTAGTGCGTACTTCGTGGTGCGATACGTTGCATCCAAAAGGCACAAGGTGTTTCCATACCTATGATGAAGAAAAAACACAAAGAAAATATTACAAAAGCAATGTTCAGAGCTGCCAACCTCCAGCACAGAAAATCAGTAATCACAAGGCTCAAAATCAGTAATTTGGGGTATAAATCAGTAATTTCCTATGCGGCACTATGAATCTATAAAAAAAACGGCACGCCAATACTGCGCGGACGAATGGGCGTATGATTATCTGACATTTTTGGTGATTATACTCACACAAAGTTGTTAAATATTGAGTTTCAAGTCACCGTTTTCCATGAAAAATGGCTTCTATTAAGAGAAAACTTGATACTTTTCTGTCTTTCTCAGCGAGTTTCTATAAATCATATTTGAAAATTAAAAAAAAAAAAAAAAAAAAAAAAAAAAAAAAAAAAAAAAAAAAAAATCATTTTTATTTTTTAAATCCGTAATTTGAGACAACATTCCGTAATGGTCGTTAATTTCCGTACCAATTACGGGAAATCCGTACTAGTTGGCAGCTCTGAATGTTGAATGTGTTGACAAGATATTTCCAAGCACTTTCCTTACAATGTAACAAAAATAATTAAGAAATGTTACCAGCATTGCATGCAGGATCTTGACAAGCAAATATAGACTCAATGCAAACATTTTTTAGTTGCATTAACCATGAAATTCCATTTTTTGCCACTCCTTTCAATGAAGCTTTTTTTAAAAGAAAGAACATATGTACCATCCCCCCCCCCCCAAAAAAAAAGGAAGATTCAAGAAAACAAATATTTTGGAATATTGTAGGACCGCATATGCGTCCAATATGTTCATTTGAACCAAATTCATGACCCCATACCAAAACTTTGTATTACCTTTAAGAAGCAAATTAGATTAATTTACCAAGAAAATTTAGCTAAATTTTCTAGCGTTTATAATACATCCACAACGGCATCCAAATATATCAAAATTGTAAAGAATCACTATCCACCCAATTTCAAAATTTCCCAAAACTTTGTATTACCTTTAAGCAGGTGGTATCCTGAAGCAATGAGCATTGATATGCAACATGGTATCATAACTGACATTAGCATAAATGAATTGGTAATATCTGGTTATAGGACAATTACCCCTAGGCATTCACCTCCCCCCCCCCCCCATGAAACACTTCTCCCCTAATATTACCCATAAGGACAATTAATCCCCTCCCAAAAAATTACCCCGTTGACAACCACCCCCCCAGGACAATCACCTCGAAGAAAATTATCACCTTAGACAACCACCACGTGGATAACTATATCCCCAAAGATAATTATCTCAACAACACCCATGCCCACGGACAACTATCCCCAGATGAAAACCATCCATGTGAAAATCTATTTCAGGGGGTAATTACCCCTGTAGACATTATTAACCCCCCCCCCAACCCACTCTGCAAACTATCTATGAAAAAAATAGATACCCAAGAAAGGATTTTTTAATTTATTTATATTTGTTATGTTTGGGGGTGTTTGTTAGTTTTTCACAAGATAAACAATATTTTCCTAATAAATGTTTCTTTTAAAATTGTCTTGCTGCACCCTGATTAAATCCCTACTCTAAAGTTTAAAGGTAATACAAAGTTTTGGAAAATTTTGAAAATTGGGTGGATAGTGATTCTTTACAATTTTGATGCCCCTGTGGATGTATTATAAGCACTACAAAATTTAGCCCCTAAACTACTTCTGCTTTCGAGAAAAATTGAAAATAAAAATTACCGATGCTCCCAGTAAATTTTGATAAATTTCAAATAGCGCCTACGGCCGTACAATGGTAGCTGCGATCATGAAAATCTCAGAATATGTAGTTGTGATATATAATTTCCGAACGGGAACAACTTATCGGTAGATTTTAGTCAAGAAACATTGTTTTATAGCTTAAGTTATATCCTGACCTTGAGAGGGAGCTATACAACATAAAGAGTTTATTATTTACAATTTCATAACTTTAGACTCGATTTCAACCACGACAACGATCACTGAATATTGTAGGACCGCATATGCGTCCAATATGTTCATTTGAACCAAATTCATGACCCCATACCAAAACTTTGTATTACCTTTAAGAAGCAAATTAGATTAATTTACCAGGAAACAGATATTTATTTTATGTTTATGTGACTAATGAACTTCTCACGTATCATGAGGGTTATTGTACATGGAGGCGGGGGGGATAATTGTCCACGTGAATAATCATCCTCAAGGGTTTAATTGTCCACAGGGAAGTTTGTCCTTGGCAAGTGAATTTCCTTTTCCCTGGGGACAATTTTCCAAGTGGTATTTGTCCTTGGGGGTTCCTGGGGTCGGTTTCCTGGGGTGTGTGGCCAGAGGGTAATTGGGCGACGCCGGTAATCTGTATTAAAACACAAAAATCTAGACATCGATCAAATTATTGTAACATTAAAGGTAAAGACCAGTATTGGAAACGCCCCAATTTCAAAAAATGAAATGGAAGCTCTCATTACCTATCATGTGAAAGAATATGTTTTGACTAATACATGATGATAAAAAATTTACCGGGAAACCGCCTATTAATTCATATATTTGGTAAATTTGTTTCTCTCATGGTCTGTGAGAGATACAGGGTAGTCCCATATACATCTTTCTGTGTATAGTGCTTGTAACTTTACGAAGAATGGGCCAAATTTTTTATCATTTTGATGATTCCAGAACCTTGCAGATGCTAGATACTAGATGATCAACCTTTTCTGATCGATTCCACAACGTTTCTTTCACAATGCAATCGCATGACCATAACTGGTCTTTACCTTTAACCTGTGTAAGAGATGACTTGAAACTCTGTTTGGTGGCAGAAGAAGAAATTTGATGATGCAGAGTGTTCAGGCAATGGGAGAACTTCCTCATCCTCTTCCCAATCTTGCTCCATGGATACCTCAGTATTGTTTTGCATAGAGTCTAATTCTCCAGAGGGAGCTGAAGATGCTAGGTTGAGTTCGAACCTGTCCTGTGGATTCTGTTCTGCCCATTGCTTTACCTGCATCTGGAGGTTCTCTTGATCAAGTTTTGAGTACCTGGATGAATCATATGAACAATGTAGGAGATTAGGAGTGAGATTTTCTTCATACCATTCCTCACTTTTTATGGCAGCATCATCCTAAAATGCAGATGTATAGATTGTACCATTCAAAATTTGAAAGAAATCTGTCAGGAAATATGACCTGCAGAGCAGAGCGCACACTAGACACCCACAAAAATATGACCTTTGACCCTATAATAGTGCAAACACTAGTGGCAGCATCACCAAACACTACAGATGTGAAGAATTTGATCAAGATATACCTCCATACAAGATTTGAAGAAAATTTTTCAAGAAATGTGGCAGTATATACAGCGCACAAAAGGGACAAATAACCTTGGTATATTTTTGTTTGAATTCGGCATATAAAAGTGATATCGACTGCTTTAATACTCGAGGAATGGCTGTTTCTATACTGGCTCTGGGGGATATTTTCATCCGTTGCTATCACCCCTTGTCGCACCGTCCACCCAGCCGCACCTCATCAGGGTGATAGCAGCAGATGAAAATTTCCCCTTGAGCCAGTATAGAAACAGCCAGTCCTCGAGTAGCAGTCGATATCTCTATACTAAATAGGGTTAAGACAATTACACCAAAGATTAATAACTGCTGCAACAAGAACGTAGCCCCTGTGAAAAAACATCTTTCACATGAGAATGTATATGCATTTTTCTCCTAGGATTAACCAGAGAAATTTCCTGTGTCGTCGCTTTGGTGGCAATTGTCATAGGGGTAATTTAATTGGAGAGCAACGATAATGACTCGATCTTCATGGACATGTTTTTAATCATGTTCAAATTTCAAAAAAATATTAACTTAAAGTGAACTAAAGCACCTGATCTGAGAAAGTAATGCGAGTTTAGTATGTGTATACCCCTCCCCACATAAACTCGCACACACACACACACACACACACACACACACACGCACACACGCACACACAGACACACGCAAACACGCACACACACACACACACACACACACACTCACTTTTATAAAACCCTGGATGGCCAGATTAGCTACAGTCGAAATTAATACCTCCATAAAATCATTTCCACTCCTGTGTGCATACATGGGCTATCATTTACTTTTATGAAGCCCTTATTATTGTCACATAAACAGCTTAAATCCATATATCGGTATGTGTTTGTCAAGAGAGGGGGGTTGCAACCACCCATCTGCTTTTTAAAAGAATAAGTCCAAAAATATATCCCGGTACCTACATTCTACAGTCAAGAGTTTCAAACTGTCGTTGAAGACTACATGGTGATAGTTATATGTGTCAATTGATGAAATTTTTAGCAATTTTGACAAATGACTTGTGCTAAATTGAAAGAGGTCAATTTAGACCAGCAGTCTAATAAAAAATTCTCCCTATTCCAACAAATTTCCATTTTGCATAAATATATGCATATGTTCTGTGAGTGTAGGAATTACTTTGTGTCACTTTTAAATTTAACTTTATAATGTTCGAATGGGAGTTCTTATTCCAACAGCTGGTTTAAATTTTCCCTCTTCTTTCAATTTGGCTAGAGTCATTTTTCACACTCTAGACAATGAAATTCAGTGATTGCCAAAGCATAACAATTATATTTTAATTTAAACGGCACTACATGAGAGTATTTGGGCATCTATCGACATGAAAAATTGTTGATATATTTCTAAAAGTGATTTTGACTGATTAAAAAAAAAATAGATATACACACACACACATGTATAATATACATGTCAACATACATAATGAAATGGGGTCCTTATCAAAATGTGTAATCGGGTACTGTGACATGCTATCAATGGAAAAGGTTATATAGTCTATGAAGACATAATGATAAAACCGCATGTTTCTTATCCTGTAAATGGACTGATGAAAAATAACCACTACAAACAAAAAAAATGAAGAAAAGAGAAAATTGGGAAAATTTGCAGTTATAAGCAATTTGAAAGAGAATTGAGTGATTTCAAGTTTAGTTTTTAAGGTTTGGTGTTAGTGTTTAATAAACACTAGCACCATGCCTAAACACCGAAATGGAAATCAGCTTGTTTTAAGGCTTTGACCTCTGAATATCATCAACTTCCGGTAGCTTATAAATAGTGTTATTGATTTTGTAAAATTGCCGTCTGCTGAACCGACCTTTGCTACAAATGTCCTATTCACTAACACTAGCCCCTAGGGATTAAGTAAATGTTGCTTTCCAGTTCGGTGTTAGTGTTAGGCTATCGATATTGATATCAGTATCATGCTCTTAATTTCATTAACAAATTTCTAGCCTGATTTAATTAAGAGCTCTTGACTGCTCTAAACACTAACACCAACACCCAACTTGAAATCATACACTCATTAAACTTTATTGTTTGTCTGATTTAAGCCACAGACAAGCTACTATATAAGCACTAAATTTGCAAGCAAAAATATAAAAAATAAGTTCACACATGCTAGATAATCTGTAATCTTAGATTAGAGTCACTAAAAAGCAAGCAATTGCATGTAGATTTTTGCAAGCTATTTCTAACCAACAATGTAGTAATTGTATTATCTGCTAATTCTAAAGGCAAGCTGTATAAACTTTTACACAGTTCAGGAAGACAAGAAGAGGATGCTTTTATAGAACTTAGCACTGTGCAGAAGAAAAGGTTGTTCAGCAGAAAATTTCATCAAAAGTAGAGCTGTCAACTTCCCAAAATCATATTATTCATAATCCCAAGTACAGCTGGGATGATTTCTCCAAGGGGATGGGGTATGTGTCATTGTGAAATCTTCAGTCTTAATTTCAGATTTCAGAACACTAAATTTTCAATGCTACAATCATTATTTTTTCATTTAATTTATTAACTGTTAAAACATCAAGAATGCCAAAATTACACATGAAATATCAATCCCTTTGTCAACAGTTCTTTTACTGGAAAGTGTTCTTTGGAAAAATTGCAATATACAATTTGTATGATCCACTTTCTTTATTTAAAGGGGCCTTGTAAAGGTGGTTATACAAAGTTTATACAAATGACAAAGAGTGTTTACTAAATGATTGTGATTATAACTACTTAAAAGCAATAGTTGTTTTTACCTCTGTCAGTCCATAAACAGTGAAATGTTGACAGAAGAATTATATAAAAGATCTAGTCCACATAAATTAAAATCTAAACCACCAAAAAACAGATACCCCAAAACCAGAAAAGGATGCAGAGCTATAGAGGCATAAATAATCAGAAAAGCAAAAGCATACCAGGGCATTAATTTCCAGCATTATAAGGACATATTGTTCACAGACTGATTTGTCATTTAATAAACTCTTTTGACATGACTCTTCCGAAAGACTTTCCAGGGTAGAACAAAGTTATTCCATGAATTTTATTTTTACACTCTCAAGCAACATTTTTCATGCCATCGATTGCCCATCTCTAAAATGACATGTTAAGATAAGGGGTTATTATTCAAGTAAGCAAAGTTCAGAAGACGTGATGCAGAAGAATGAGACCATATAGAGCACGGCAAAACTTGATTAAAGCTGAAGGCATGAAACTTTAAAACTTACACTTTGTCACCACAATGCTATATCCTTGTTGGCTGTGCTAGTAATATTGATTTGAGGGTATAAATTTTGATTAAAATTCAGTTACATAAGAATTATTTTTTTATATTGATGAATGAAAAGTTTACCAGCATTTCTGCAAAACATTCAAGCATCTATATACAGATAGCTGGTAGTTGAAAAATTAAATAATTATATTAAATTCATGAATACCACTCTATACAAGGTGTATTAATTATTAAGGTATATATTCCTCTTAACTCAATACAAATCCCACAGATGCAATCTTAATATGGCAAAAAGGTAATATGAAGAAAAACTAGATGGATTCTCGACTGCGTACAGTAGAAAATTATGCCCCTGCCATTGCCAGATCAGAAATATATTACGGTACACATTTAACTTCTGAAATTTTCAAAACCTTTCATAATATTACTGTTTTATTTGCAGTTTCCCAAATTCACTTCCATTGATTAACTTTGTATAATTCTGGTATATTTGTAGACATGTTTCCATTTTGTGTGTGTTCTCTGTATATATTGTATATAATCTTTTTTTTATGTGTTTTTTGTGGATATTAACAAATATTCTTTGCTTGTTCATCTCATTCTACATAAAGAAAAGTGGTTTTACAAAGATTTACATGCATTCTACATTAATAAGTGAACAAAATCCTGTAATCTACATGATGGTATAAACACACATACAGCTATCAATAAATGACTACATGATTTTGACTAGTACACCTTGTGCATGAACAGAATAAATACAAGTCAGCAAACATCACAATATCTATAAATGTGTCTTTCAATTCATGCACATGGTTGTGTACTTATGTGTAGTTACAGAAATATGCACAGTACATTAGACTGCATTCATGAAAGCATCCATGTTTAATTTAAGACTAAAATAGTAGTTAGTTCACTAGTTGATGGAAAGCCACATGTTAATCTCTGCATCTCATAAACTAATCTTAATTCTGTAACTACAAGAAGAAACAATTAAGAAATTGATTTATCATTTTCATTTCACGGCTGGATTCATTTGTTTTACTCGTTGGCCCGAATTCACAAAGCAAGGTTTGAGCTCAGACCAAGGTTTGAGCTCAAACCTCCTTTTGTTTCGCCAAACCTCCTTTTGTTATTTACAAACCTGGTTTGTAAATAACAAAGGGAGGTGTGGCAAAACAAAAGGAGGTTTGAGCTCAAACCTTGCTTTGTGAATTCGGGCCATTGTGTTTAATACAGAAACAAAAAATGTGTATGAAATAAAGAGCATAACACATAGCACTACATAATCAGTGGACTATGTTAAAGGTACTTTGTCCCATTTGCAGGCCCAAAAAATGAAAAAGTTAAATTCCAACTGCATTTGAAAGATAATATTAATTTAGAACTGCCCTAAAAAAGGTGAGGCTTGAAAATGTCTTCAAGTTGGAAAATAATGACTATTAGTTGTCAAATCGACTTTAGGGCTATAGAGCCCAAAAGTAATAGTCTTGATTTTCAGACAATTGTACCGAATGGTCATACGTTTTATGCTGCGCAAAGATTCAATCAGTTTAATCTTGGCCATCACAAGAAGTGAGTTATTGATGTAGAAAAATGCTCATGTACCCTTTACAACTCTTTTCATGTTATTACCAAAGAAGAAAAAAGCCAGTCAGTCACTCAATAGTGTCTGACAGTGAAGTCTAGCAAGTAAACAGGTTTCCTTGCATAATTTGAATATGAGGACACTGCTAACATTTAAATTTCACAGATAGGACATACATGACATATTCATAATTCCTGCAAAGTTCTACAGAATTTGAGGTTGGCTGCAAAAGGGACATTGTACCTTTAAACCAGGTTTATTAAACTTAGTACATCTTTAAAAGAATATAAGCCATTGAATAAGCCATCCTCTGGAACAAATTGCCAAGTGACCTTCAAAAAAAATTCCATGCTTAGAAACCTTCAGAAACATGGTAAAAAGCTTTTATTTTATACTCAGAGTTACTAATGCTATTATGTTGTTAAATTCTTGAGAAAGATAAGTGTATTTTGTTTAGTATAGCGTCTTAAGTAAGATATTAGACAAGTGTGCTTCATAAGCATTTATTGTTATTATTATTATATTTTACAGCTTCAATATGAGAACCTCTTCATATTCTTTCAGTCAATTTGAAATAAACTGAGTCAGGAGTAAATACACTTGTACATTATCCTCTCTAAACGTCCCGCTTTACTGCCCTGAGCAAATGTTGCAGGAGCAAATGTCGGATCACAAGGATATAGGTACATGTATCTTGTTGAATAGCAGTAAGTGTTATTTTTTTTAATTCAAAGAAATGAAGCAGTTTCACATGAACACAATTATGCAACTGATACTATAACACCTCATCAAAAGTAAAAGTAAGCCTTGGAATATAAGCTTAAGATCATGGAATAGTAAACATGATTCTTCATACTTTTCTCTATATACATGTACAGTGTATGCTCTTGAATTGGAACACTTTTCCTATTCTACTTAATTGTCTCCTTCAATTTGTTCCCCCTTTTTTACAATTCTTTTTCTTCTTTCCCTGGCCCCATTTCAAATTTTTCTCCATTTAAATATCTTTTATTTTCCTCCACTTACAAACTTTCTCTTCTTTCTAGATTTTCTCTTCATATCTGATAAGCAACAATCTGTACTGCTCTTCTATGTAATCTACTGTGTTTCTAACCTTCAGACATTTCCCAAAATCAATAATATCTTTACTCTCAACTCTCTACAAATGCATGATACAGTGTACACAGGCAACATAACATGCAGAAAAGACATGGATGTAAGACTGGATTTCAAACCTTGAACAGTGGTAATGTCAATGGTAGAAGAGACATTGGAGACGCAAGTGAGTCCTAGTCAACGATGGGCCAGCAGTGGCAAGTAAAACAAAGTCATAAAGCCATTTTATTTATTACTCTCTAGTCTCTCAATAAAATCTTTAAAACGTTTCTCAGAGCGAGATATACATTATATTTACCATGCTTATAATCCCTCTTTTTTGCAACATACAGGTACAGGTATATGTTGACTAATGACAGCTACAGTTATAAATACTAAAATACCTGTACATAGATGCATAAATTCACCCTTTTAGTGATGTAGGTTATCATTTTATAGAGGATGCTAAATATATTCATATATGTAGAATCCATATGTAGATATTTGGCTGCACCAATTTGCATGAAAGACGTAGGAAAAAGACTTATCACTAAAAAATGAAGAGTTCTCTGAGTATCTTGACTTAAAATAAGATAAAAGAAAGAACATGAAAAGACAATTTTATGAAGTTCTAAACTAAACACATTTTACTGTCAGAAAACATTTCTGTACAGATTATCAATCTTAAAGGGGAAGTCCACCCTGAAATTAAGTTAGTTTTAATAGGAGTAGAAAAATGAGAGAAACAAGTCAGTGAAAGTTTTAGCAAATTCCGATTAAAAATAAGGAAGTTAGGAATTTTGAAGTTGTGATCAATCAAACACAAATTGGCAACTCTATGACGTATCATGCGAGCTCAACTTCCATTTGCTCAGTACTAAAAAAATCTAAAATTTTCATTTTCCCTCAAGAAAAATTTCAACCATACATGCACCCTAAATATAATAATTGCAAATATGTTTCTATACTCCCCCTGCAAGGAACAAATATATATTCCGTCATCAATAACGAAGAAAACATGATTTTATGGAATATTATGCACAAAGCAAATGAAGGAGAGCTCGTATAATAAGTCACAGAGTTGCCAATTTGTATTTGATTGATCACAACTTCAATAATTCATAACTTTCTTATTTTCATTCAGAATTTGCTCAAACTTTCACTCACCTGATTTTCTTATTATTCTGCCTCTATCGAAACAAACTTATTTTGGGGGTGGACTTTCCCTTTAAGGATTTGATAAACATACATGTAACAACAAAAAAGATATATCAATTTATCAAATCTCTATCTTATACCATTACATGTCAAAACAAGTATATGACTAGGAAACAAACTATGATGGGAAAAAAGAGTAAGAGGGAGAAAAAGAGTAAGAGATGGAAAGTGTACCTGTGACTCAAAGAAGGAGAGCTTGCGAAGTGATTCAGATTCTTCATCCTTTTGAGTGTAGCAGGAATACATAAATAGAATCAGTATATTATATCAAGTCTGTTTTTCACAAATTAGAGTGAATTTGTACTTACATTTCAAAACCAAGGGTTAAATGTATACCCAAGTCACACCACTAAATCGACCCAAATCTTGCTTTTAATCCACAGAATCTTGTTGATTGTGTGGGTAATTTTTTCTTCTCCTGTCTACTGTCTGCCTGGTGTTTCTCCCCTCGATGTGACTGGGGTATTACTATTCAGTGATGTAAAGCGCTGGTCAGATTTTTTATTAAAATGTGAATCATGTACGGCAGTCATTCTTTGTTTTATTTCTACAAAATGTAGCATGTAAAAATGAGAGAGTGGACACATATACCCTGCCCCCTCTCTCAAAAAAATATTAACAAATGAACTCCTATTAAAGTCCAGAAATTGCCAATTTGAATCTCTTCTTGCCCATCTCATGTCAAAAGGAATCATGTGTATTTTGCTCTTACAATACAAATGTACTTCAAAACAACATGGTTCAATGCCTGGAATTCTTCAAAAACATAAAAAACTAGATGGAACTTCGACTGCACGCAGTCGAAAATGATGCCTCCGTCATAGAGCAATTTTACAAACCAAAACAGAAGAAATTTTTCAAATTCAAGTTCAATTGTAATCCATTAACAGGTTCTCAGAATATCGTGATTACAAGCAATTTCTCATATACATATATGACCCTTTGATCTTTGACCTCATGACCCTAAAATCTACTCAGTTCATTGGCTCTGCAAGATGTCCCGAGTTAAATAGTAATCCATGTGTCAGTTCTAATGAGAATGCGTTCACAAGCTATTTTTGCATACATAATGAGCCCATGACCTTTGACTTTTGACCTTATGAACCAAGAATCTAATCAGTTCATTGGCTCTGCAGGATACATAAATGATCTAAGTTTGGCAAAAATCCATCAATCTGTTCTAATGATAATACGATCACAAGCTATTTTTGCATACATAATGTGCGCTGTGACCTTTGACCTCGTGATGCCAAAATTTAATCAGTTCATCGGCTCTGCAAGTAACATACATGACCTAAGTTTGGCAGGAATCCATCAATCGGTTCTTCAGATAATGCGATCACGAGCTGTTTTTGCATACATAATGAGCCCTGTGACCTTTGACCTCTTGACCCCAAAATCTAATTAGTTCATCGGATCTGCAAGATACATACATGACCAAAGTTTGGCAGGAATCCATCAATCGGTTCTTCAGATAACGCGATCACGAGAACGGGACGTACGTACGTACAGACGTACGTACAGACGGACGGACAACCCGAAAACATAATGCCTCCGGCTACTTCGTAACGGAGGCATAAAAATAATGCAATCTTTATCTTTCAATAAAAATGTTCACATACATAAATATCTTTAAAGCACATAGAAAGATTCTTATTCAGTGCTATATTATTACTATCCATGTATAAGTCTCACCTTTAGAGGAATGCCTTTGTCTTTCCTATCGTTGTACATGTCACGCATATCAATGATCTTATTCTTGAGCTTCTCCACAGACCAGATCTGTGTTCCTCTGTCCTTACGCTTCACCTGAATGGCCGGCTCACTCACTATGGCTCCTCTCTGACCAATCAAATCAAAGGTTAGAAAGATATAAGTCATCTATTCATCGTAATGGGAATGCTTGTTTATAAACTCTGAATTCCATTTTATTTACATTTTACAATAAATATTCATCACTTATGTATCTACTAAATATACTGTCATTTATCATGCTAATCCTTGCACTGCTTTCAGTAACATCCATCCAACATAATAATAGAAGTGTTAAAAATGAGAATTTTGATAGACCAATTTTACAATTTCTGGAGGATCTTTGTTGGAACTACCTCATTTAATTTTATGCTGGTCTAAAATCATCACAAACTAATCTGCTGCACTGCATCTCATTGTTGCACAGATTCATGTAGATTTGCATTCAATAAAGCCACATGTATAGGGCATACATTTTTGGAACAAAAAATAATATCAGGGCCAAAGGAATAAAACTGATGCTCCTATGCCTTTTCTACGTTTATGATTATTCAGTGGGTTGATGACACATTGTACAAAACTTTTTTTGTCCTATTCTTTTATTAGTACAGGTTTTTCTGTGCTTTCTTGAGTGATCTCAGCCAAAAGACATTTTCGTCCAAATTGCATAAACTGCAAAAACAATTACTTTCTATAGCATCATGAATGAAGGAGTAGAAGCAAGTGATAGGAGAGCTACCTTTCTATTTGGAGTAAGGTTACAGACAGGTATCTGTAGTGTGACTCTGAACTCTGTCTGTTTGCCCATTTCCTCCCCCAGGAAGTTGGCCTCTCTGATCAGGGCGTTTGCCTTGACAACGTCTTCTCTCAGCTTGGCAAGACTCTGTCTGAACATATCATCCCTAGGGAGAAAAAGCCATTTAGAGTTCATCAACTGACTTAGCAATGACAAGTACTTATAAAGTGTATTTAATAATAAATAAAATATTACAAAATTGTTGACACACACACATGCATACTTAGAAGAGTCACTAGCTCAGTAGGCAACAACTATTAGGCAATTCAGGGGTGATAGTGAGCACTAAAAACAAAAACAAATTTTTTTTTCCCCCTCTTCCACGCCCCCCTTGAGTAAAAAAAAAAAAAAAGAAGAGAATTTGTGGAAAAAATGGCACTGAACATCATTCCCCCTTTTTGAGTAAAAAAATTGGGAAAAATTAGGGAACAAGGGAAACGCTCTCGGCGGTCTCGCCTGCATAACGCAATTCAATATGATAAACCAGAACGTCAATGAGGTAGCGCTCATCGGCAGCTCGTAACAACAAATATCGTAAATTTTATGTGGTACACTTTTGAACTGGTCAAAAAATAAAAATTTGATGCCCTGGAAGGGACATCATTTCATTTCATTTGCATCAAGTACCTTAAATAATCAATGGAGCAAAATCTCACAATTCTGTGTAGAAGTTTAGTGTTCCAAATTTAGCTCTACCAGATAAGGCAAACCAAACCAAAATCGGTCAAGAAATGAGGGAAAAGAAGCAATTTTTGTTATTTTTGGAATAAATTTGCATAAATTACCATAATTAATGAATTTCACGATTCTGTGTAGACATTTTAAATCCCCCTCCTAGCCCTATCATATGAAACAATCAGAATCAAAATCGGTTGAAAAATAACGAAGAAGAAGCATTTTGAAAATCTTGATGTTGATGCCACAACAAAGTCTAAGTTTGTTGACCTTAAATGACCTTTGATCTTAACTTAGTGACCTGAAATTCTACTCACACGATTGGGGAGACTTGATAACTCTATAGTCCAAGTTTCATTGACTAAGAACTTATACTTTCAAAATTATATCAAAAATTCAAAAACTTAACCTTAGGTTAAGTTTTCGATGATGATGCTACAACATAGTCCAAGTCTGTTGACCTGAAATGACCTTTGACCTTTGACCTTGACTTTGTGATCTGAAATTCTACTCACATGATTGGGGATACTTGGTTACACTATAGTCAAAGTTTCATTGACTAAGAACTTATACTTCAAATATTATATCAAAAATTCAAAAACTTAACCTTAGGTTAAGTTTTTGATGTTGACGCCGTCGCCGTCACCGGAAAAGCGGCGCCTATGTCTCGCTTTTTGCTACGCAGGCGAGACAAAATAAAAAAAAAAATAAGGGAATAATCAGGAAAATTTGGGAAGAAAAAAAAAATCAGTAAAAAAATCAAAACAAAAATCAGGTAATTATCAGGCCTGGCAATTGAATGCTGGTGCAAAGCAAATTTCCACAATTGGGGGCAATGAATGAAGTTGTCAAGTTATCATACCAAGTTTAATACTCATTCATATTAGAAATACATACCAAATGAAGGGGGAAGTCTTTCAAACATTTAAGAAAATTTAAGAAAATTTAAGAAAAACCATTTATTTTTGCATGAACATGCTAATTATCCATCTTATGTGAGTACATCTTTTAACAACTACACAAATATTTCATCACCTAAGATCTATCTTCACTGACCTGTCTTCGCTCCATTCCTCATAAGGCTCCACCCCTAGCGACGACCCTATCCCTAACGATGACCCATCACCGCTCTGGCTCTGGGTCCCTTCATCTTCTATCCTCCTATCCTCCTGTCTGCTGTTGGGTTGGTGGTGACCTGAGGAGTTCTTGGGAACCAGCTGTTGCTTCAGTGCGGCCAGCTCCTGCTCGTAAGCCTCCCGCTGCTTGAAAAGGGCGCTATCTTTGTCCTTCTGGTGCTGGACTTCTATGAGCTTCATGGCAGCTTGTACAGGGTCTAGTGAAAGAGGAGATGTATATGATTACTACAATTACAGAAGTTATTCAAACCCAATTATGTCCATCTAGGCCAAAACTGGATTTTTATCCATTTAAGAGAAAGCTGTACAAAAAAAAAATCTGCATTTCTAGGCAGAGATTGAAAAATGGAAAATAATGTAGATTGACTACTAGTACTTACAATCAAAATATACATGCTAGTAATTTTCTGTCAATTATCATTCAAGTTGATTTACAGAAGTCAACTTCTACCTGATTACACTACATTGTATATGTAATGAATTTCATACAGCCCAATATAACACAATTAATCAATGGTTAAATATGTACAAAGGTAAAATGTATGGCTTATCCTTTTATCAAATCATAGTTCAATAGAAATAATCCATACAATTTTGAATGAGAGTATTTTATTTTGCAATTGTACACTAGCAGTTGGCACTTGACAGGTACATACATTTACTATTTTGACTTCTGTTTTATTGTGCTGTTTACCATTGTGTAGTTCTTGCATCATGACTTCATTCTGTGCATAATCAAAGTCAAAGCTTTCTGTCACTGGCTGGGCCACAGGCTCAGGGGTTGTTGTTCCACTTGATCCTAGAAGAAAGAAAAAAGAAATAAAAATACAAAATAATCATGAACATTTAAAACCATCAATTGATTCAGGTGGCCATGCTCTGGCTTATTTTGTTCTTGTCATCTATCTAACAATTTGTTCATCCTTCAATTAGTCAGCACTCCATTAATCACCCATCAATAAATCCATTATAATCGACCCATTCCCTACATCCATTTACTCTCCAATACTTTATTCATTCCTCACCATATCTCCATCCATCTCTTCCTCTTTCTATCAATCAATCCATCCATCCATCCATCCATCCATCTTTCCATCTATCTATTCATACATTCATAACCTATTCATTGCTCCCACCCTCTCTCCATCGAATCATCCATCCACACATCTGTTCTTCCCTTCATCATCCCCTCTAACCGCCATCCATCTTACCATCCATCCATTTACCTCTTTATCCATCCATCCATCCATCCATATATATTCATCTATCCATTTAATGCACACACCATCACACATATACCATCATTTCTTACCAACTCCAGGAGCTCTTGGACAGTTTATCCTTAAGAAATGATAGTTGCCTAGAAGTATCCTGTCTCCATGCCTCAACGATGTCTTACTTGTCACAGCACTTCCATTGACATATACCCTTACAAAAACAATAGAAGAAAAAAAAACACATTACAATCTCCCTCTCTGCCTTTCATCATTCAGTGGTAGCCTCATATTTTCCATGTACAACACATAGATCCCATGGATCAATTTGTTTTCATTATTCATATTGTCCATTCTAAACCTTGCTAGCTTGAAGAGTGAAACTGTAAAAGGGAATTTAAGAGAGATTTCAAATTCATCAGATTAAATGGCTCTTAAATCATTTAAATATAACAGAAGATGTCAAAGCAATTGTTTAATTTGAAATGAAAAATTAATGTGATTGCAACTTCGATATGCCTCTTACTACATTCACCTAACTTTTGATCACTTTCTGTCACTACTCACAAAAGAAATAACATAAAATTTGAGCAATGAAACTCTCCTCTTAACATTATGAATCAACTTATTCAAAAATTGGATTGATCGATTGAAACATGACCTCTAAAAACCATGAACTACTTTTGTGAAGCCCCTAACACAAAGGTCATGACTTGAGGAGTATGTAACAAACTACCCTTCCTGTAACAAACACTCCTTCCTGTAATGAACTACACCCATCCCAATCCCACATTCCAAATCAATAAGATTGTAGATTACACCTCTACACCTGTCATTCATATTGTGAATTTCAGTCCTATATTTTTAATTCAAATTCCAATGTACAGATTGCTTGTTAATATCCATCAATCATTGTACATTACAAGATTGAATTTCTCCCATATCAATCATTTTACAGTCTTTTTTTTCTTCTAAAAGGTTATTTGAAACTGCAACACAAATCGGTGTAAAATGGATACATTTTGTTTTCTCTTGTAATTTTCATTGCTGTATACCAACTATATAAACCATGATCTGATTTCAAAATTCATCAAATGTGTTGAAAACACATACAGTTTTCTAAAAATTGAATAATTGAAAAGATGTTTATTTGTTTGATATTTGTGAATGAAAAAAAAAAAAGAAAAAAAAAAATATATATATATATATTTAAGTTACCATAATAGCAAAAAGTTGGATAAACTGAAGAAAAATCTGATGCACTAAATGCAAATCTTTGACTCCTTGAATAAAATAATAATACACTATCAAACATTAAAATAGACGACATATAACAAGACTGCTGTTCAAGACAGCCTTTTAAGATGGCAGAAAATCTTTGAAACTAATCAATCTTACTTGGCATTTTCACATGGTGAGATGTAGACATCTATGTCATTCTCTACATCAATGGTACAATGTCTAGGCATGATACCAAGCCCATTTAGCTGGATATCTGTTTGTGTCTCCTCATCAGCCCTCCCAGCTACATTGTGATCCTACGTAAAGACAAAGAAAAGTCAGAAAGAAAGGAAAGAAAAGAAAAGAAAAAAAAAAAAAAGAAAAGAAAAAAAAAAAAAAAAAAAAATCAAGTTTTTCGCAATGATTGCCACTCACTTGTAACAGCCACAAAGTACATTATGATCCTCAACTGTACATACAACAGAAAAATTAAAAATTGTGAACTCTTTAGAAAATGCCCACTATAATCCAAAATATGACAAAGAAAATTGAAAATCTATAACACTCTTAAAAGTCCAAACATGTTTGGGCCATTGTCTGATTACATTTTGTAATATTGAACAGCAGCGTAAAACTCCACACATACAGAACGAAATAATTTATTGAGATTAGTCCAGTTCCTTTAAGATTATTCTGATTATATCATGGATGGATAAAGCGTGAAGATCTGCAGTTCTTACCTTGAGGTAGTAGACAAACAGTTCGTTGAGTGAAGGGTCAGCGTTGAGATTGACCAGGAAACATTTATTCCTCTCTACTTTGATCCCTGATGTCTGCACTGAGATACCCATCTGTTCTAGTGCTGCTTGCCTCTCCTAAAATCAAACATATATTTACATATTAGCACCTGAAAATAGACCAGTTCACGGTTAGCACATGTCTCAAATGACCACAATTTATCCACAGATCTTCAAAACATGAAGAGGTCCCACTTTGTACATTTTGAAATAATCACTACTACAACGATGGAGGTGCTACATAAATAGCCTTTGTTTCCCCTTTTCAAAGAATACATTGTACTTCCACCTGTGTATCATTTGGTCTGCAATGACCTTTATCTGATCATGTTCAGACTGCAACTATGAACTGACTTATTGTCATGTCATGTATACGCACTGTACCTATTGTAAATTGCCAAGATTTCTGAATGGTTTCAGGCAGACTAAAATAACTCTCCATGGGGTAATACATTGTTTTCAGTCAGAATCAAATACATTTTTGCACATCAACACTTGAAAATTTCATTACATGAATTGTAGCCATTTAGTGACAGTACCAAATGGAAAATTGCCAAGATTTTTTAAGTATTTCTGACACATAGAAATAATTGTCTATAACAATACACTGTTTTCAATCAGAATCAAAGTGCTTAACTAAGATATAAATGCAATGAAGATCAAAAGTGTTACTTTTCAAAGAAATCAGGGCTCCATCTCACAAAAATTGTCATCAGTGACAAATGACAGTTTTTGTTACAAGCTAGTGAAATCCTTGCTTCTGATTGGTTATCAGTAGATTTGTCACTGATTTTTGCATTTGTCATTGAAAAGAGGCTTTGTGAAACGGGCCCCAGATCTTCCCCAAAGAGGAAAGTTATCAAATGTTCTCCGAAAGTAACCTGAATGCATATTGATATCAAGTCAGCTGTGTAATACTGAATGGCTTGATGTCCGAAGACTTGTACTTCTCTTCTTTTTTTAATATTTTTTTTTAATATATTTTTTTTTTTTTTGGGGGGGGGGGGGCTGCAATTGAGATTTGTACACACATTCATTTGGAATTCTACCACATCCCAGGTGAACAAACACATTGTGTTGGAAAAAAAAAAACTCTCAAATTTAGCACTTTATATCGAACTACTGAAGAAGGTAATGGGCTTACTTTGTGTATTCTTTCTGTGTTGACAAGTTTCTCTTCCCAACTCAGAGACATCTCTTTCATAAGCATCTCTGATTCCTCTAGTCTATCCTTCAGACTATCTGCTTTCATACTCTAAGAAAAAAAGATGGAGAAAGCAAATTTTAAAATAATATTTGTATAAAATTTGTATAATACGTGATCATACAAATTTTGCAGAGAATTTGGTCAATTATTATATTTATTTTGACCTGATAGATATAACGCATGTGTCGCGCAAGTGTACGTAGTCCCATATACATTTTTTCTGTGTACAGTGCTTATAACTTTACCAAGACTGGGCCAAATTTCTTATCATTTTGATGATTCCAGAACCTTGCAGTACACACCAATACTTATATATATATGCTAGCTGATCAACCTTTTCTGATCGATTCCACAATGTTTCTTTCACAATGCAATCGCGCATCATTAAATTAGTGCAAGAACAAGCAATTTTCATGTATATAATGACCTCTGTGACCTTTGACCTTGTGACCCCAAAATCTAATCAGATCATTGTCACCCCCATATGCATACATGTACAAATTGGCCAAGTTTGAAGTTGATCCGTCAAATTGGTCTTTTTGTTATGGCGACAACGAGCCACTTTCATGTTTTTCATTTTCATGACCTCCTGTTACCCCAAAAACTAATCAGATCATTGTCCGTCCTATATATGCATACAAGAGCCAAGTTTGAAGTTGATATAGCGAACAACTCGTAAGTTATCAGGAGAACAAAAGAGGGATGGACGGACGACCCCAAAACATAATGCCTCCGGCAAGGTCGACCTTCGGTGGGCAAAGGCATATCAAAATAATGGATTCTGAATCTTTCAACTGATGTGTCTGATGACAAAGGTGACTCATCAGATGGTTATGAGGTCAACATTTTGTTTTTTAATTTACAAGAAAAACTTCATTTAGGTATTTATATCATATTGTGCTAACAGTTATTGCAACACTGAAATAGTTACCTTAGTTTCATGCGAGCAGCATAGATGTGGTTACGAACACATAGGTCACTCGGATAGTAAACCATATCATTTGAAGTTGGTCTAGACTTTGGGTTTGGGAAGAGAATGGTGTCAACAAAGACTTTCAGGTGCCGCTTCATCTCCTTCACATTGGTCACACCATGGCCAACCAGTTCTTGAACTTTAGTTATGAGATCCTTATTTAGAGGATTAAGAAACCTGGTGAGCTAAAAGAAAGAAGAAAAAAAGAAAAGAACAGAAATTAAGTTAAAGAAAATTAGAAAATAATTAAGATTACAAAAAAATAATGGAAATATAATTAGAAAATTGGATAACAAATAATATAAAACTGTAAATTCACTATATCTAAAAATAATTCTTCTACACACTGCAGTTGGGATAAGACCTTTTTCTCATTTGGAATTAAAAGACCTGAAAGTGTTCAAAAGGATCTGAGTTTTGTAAGGACCCAAACTTCAAGGTCGACTTATGTTGACAGACTGTACATTGTTATGTCATGCTTTAATTCTAAGGTGCCACAATAATGTGAAACCTGGTTTGACTCCTCATGGAACGGGATTAAATCATCATTAGTGTTAACAGATTGTGATACAATGTATCACATATATTCAAGAGCTTCTTCATTATCACTCCAGTGACCTATAGAAATTGAAATATTTAAAATTTCATGAAATAAAATACATAGGGAAAAGTGAGTGTGTGACATCAAAGGATCACTTATTTGCATACAGTCTATGTATTGTATATTGTTGTTTTGTGAAACTGCACAAAACTTTAAAATGTTGTAACTTTATTATTTTACATCCTATTTTGATGAAGTTTTCAGTCTTATTTTTGTTTGATTTTACTCCATTTATTCTAATCATTCTTTAACTGCATTAACAAAAAAGTGAGGGTTTTACCATTCCAATAGGATGTTTATTCTTGTGATCTTCATCTTTAGGCACAGATGTAGATTCGATGTTCAGTCACTAACTGTGTGCTACTTCTTATCGCCTCTCGTACCTACTAGCTTCTTCTTTATTCAACTGGAAAGAAATGTAACCATCCGACGTTCAAAATCATTACCCAGATTTTAATATTTTTTTTAAAACTTCCATGTAAAAGTCAAGGTTCAGTTTTCATCATAAAGTAATTTAGCTGATGTTGTGTGTCTGTCCTTCCGTTTGTTTGACGGCACTTTTCTCCATGACGGGACTAAAAAAATAGATAGTAATTCACTGTGAATTGTATCATGTAGATCAAAAATAGCACAGTGGCAGTCCATGGACCCAGACTAGGCCTCGGCTAGATCCAAGACTATTGTGCAATGTAGATTTAAACTGCATATTTAGATTTCATGAAATTTATTACACTACAATATTCTTTTAAACAAATAATGCACAGCTCTTGCTCGAGCATAAGACAAATTCTTCAGACTCTTCTAAAGTGAAGCATATGCTTTAATAAATGCAATCACAACTGCATATTATTTGTATAATAATGCATTGTAAATTAAAACGACCACCCTTCAAGCAATTTTGACTTGGCATTTGGCATTTCTGAAAGACCTGAAAGACTTCTACAGAACTGAAAGAGGGAACAGGAAGTACACAAATAAGAAATGTAAATTACCTGAAATTGAGGAAATCTAAGGACTTCCTTCATGATGATCTGAGCAGGGCATCCTTTTTTTCTTGAACCTTGGATCTTACATCTTCGTTTGGTGGTTCCTGGATGATCACTCTAGAGAGATAGATTATAAACAATTCTCATTTGTAAGAAAATGCTTTTTGTCAAACGTCATGGAATATGCATTCAGCAACCCAAATTGTCACACTATGAGGTGGAGGAATCGTTTACATACAACATTGCATGTTCATGTCAAATAATCTGAATATTGTTTTTCCACTGCAATTTGGAAAAAAGTACAATTTGGTTGAAGCTTCATGTACTTAAATGGGAAACTTAAATTTTAATGGCCAAGTCCATATCCACCTGACGCATTCGATGACTGTACTGATGTCTTGATCTAGTTGCTGGTCATGCCGAACATCTACATCACTGCAGTCATCGAATGCGTCAACAATGGTGACGCATTAATCATTTGTAGTCGAGATTGTATCAACCATAGACACTGTATTTGTATAATGTCTCCATAAATCTGAGAAAGTTTTGAAAGAGTTACCGTAAATCTCTGTGTATAAGGCACACTTTTTTGCCGCTGAAAAAATTTGAAAGTCGGGGGTGCGTCTTATACACAGGTAATTTTTTTTTTTTTTTTTTTAGTTTCGATTTATGGTGCTATGCCTGGCAATGTCTCACAGCTCAGAAATCAGTGTGTTGACTCACCACTCGGAAACTACAACAACACTCAAATTTGTCTGTCATCTTGGTTTGAAAGTAATCTTTCTAATAGATCTCAATATGTAGTTTATAATAATAATTCCTCAATTTTTTTTGATAACAAATGGTGTCCCACAAGGTACTCCATTGTCAGAAATTTAGAGGATGCTATTCATATCATGCATGACTATTGATGTTTGACATAGAACACAGTGCTTTTGCTAGGTGATATGATGAGGCTGGTGTGGGACACTTGGTATTATGAAGCCTTAGCGTCTGGACCTGTTTTTAATTTACATTAATGATCTTACACATTCTTCTACAACGACATTGTTACTATTATTTGTGACAAGTTCACAACTTCAACTGCACCTCGATGTAAAATGAAGGTCCTTCCCCGCGTGGGTTTTCGGCAACAAAACAACAACAAAACAACAGAGCTGCCATAAGAAGGGAATGCCTCCTCCACCAATGTCGTGATGGCAGCCGCATACACTGCAATTGGCTCCTCTGGCTTTCTCGGCCTGGCATTAATACATGTCTGAAAAGATGCCAGATAATCCGACTGACCAAATACCGCAGACAGCTTCTTCTTCATTGACTGAAAATCCTTTTGCTCACTAGGGGGGAGACTCTCCCAAACCGTGAAGGCTGAGCCGGATAATCGGGACGGCAACAGAATATGCAGCTTGTCAGCAACACTGGAATCCGCTGCAGCAGCTATCTCAAACCTTTTGACCCATTGCCCAAAGTCCTTCTCATCCTCCCCAGTAAAAAGTTCGGGCAATTCTATCCGGAACATGGTAAGTAGACTGCCGTTTACAGCAATATAATGTACAATAACTATATGTAGCAAACCAATAACCTACGCTAGGTGACGGTGAAGAAAGGCTGGACTACGAGGTAAGTATAGTACATGTAGATGTACAGGGGTGCGTAAAAAACTCACTCCCGATTACGTGTGAAAATATAGCTGCTCTATCAATTCCAACAACCAGACGAAGACTTAATTAAATAAGCTTGTGAAAGGTAGTACCTGAAGGAGGAAGTATGTACAACAGACAAACAGTATCAAACTGATGAAGGATGACAACATACACATGTACAGGTGGTGTACATGTAAGTTACAGATGGAAAAATGAAGATTAACTTCAAAGCTGGCTCAACAGGATCACTGCAGGAAGAATAACTGCGACAAGGCGAGCAATATGAAACGAGGTAACCCACAAGTAGTACAGTAAGACTGATATTCAAGTGGTAAAAATGAGTCTTGTACATCAACAATTCAAGAAAAGTCAGCATAACCCACATTAATGAAGAAGGGAGAACCTTGTAAAACAACAAGTATGTCCCAATTGATGAAGTAGGGTGAACTACACTTAATTATCAACTAGTGACTCACCAAAATAATTGTAGAACTACGGCGAGCTTGAAGTTGAAGAAGAGGATGTATGATGATATAGCTTGCTAATTAGCACCAAGCTTGCTGAAGGAGGGTGAAAACAGAAGCAAGGTACAGGCAAACAGCAGCAAAGATATGAAAACACGACATGGCGAAATTGGTCCGAAATAATCTGGATAAAACACAGAAACACCGCGGCCACCAATTGTAACGTGTTAAAACCGAGGGAAATTATAGCTAACCAAAATCAATCATCGACCAACTCACTTTAATATACAAAATTATAACATGTCTCTTAGTACAAATCAGGCATCATAACAAAATAAACCAATCAGGGGAAAGTCATGTGATAAGAGAAACCAATGAGGTGAACAGGCTAGATAGATCAAAGGTGAGAGGCAAAGAGAACGAATGAGAGAAGAGAAAGTGCATGTTGCTAGGGCAGGAAAAGGCAACCATGCATAGAAAATGAGAAGACAACAAAGGGAATGGGTTTGCAGGAGAGAGAGGAAAATAAGGTGTGGCAGCTAGTAGTGCAACTGAAAGACTGTGCTGTAAGAAGGTGAATGAAATGGGAACATGAGCTGGGAAAATGAATATGCAAATGAAGAATGCAAATATATAAATGAATATGTGATAATGGATAAGGAAGAGAGAAGAAATTTACTAACTGAAATATAAAGACAAATTCAAACTCTTACACTGATCCAAGTGGTTACTGGTTTATTTTAGACTCACTATGAACATCACAGACAAAGAAAGCGGACAAAATATACAGTTCCTCAGGTAGACAAAGGAACATCCCTTCACTGCTATTATGTACAAAAGGTGAATATGCATGTGACACCTGTTCTACACATTTTTACATAATAGCAGTGAAGGGATGTTCCTTTGTCTACCTGAGGAACTGTATATTTTGTCCGCTCTCTTTGTCAGTCATATTCATAGTGACTGTGCATTTAGCTTTCCACTCCGTTATGCTTCAGCGCACTTCTGACCTACATTCATTCTCTCATGTCTGCTAGCTCTTGGCTTCTATTGTTCTGTCCCTATTCATTCATCCTCATTCACATTACCTGCCATAGCACCACACACACACACACACACTCTTCCTATCTATTGCCTATTCAACCCAGCATACTATAGGCACATGGCACTTTACCTTTACAAGCTTTTCTATTGGTTAGTTACTTATTGTCCAATCTTGTGATTGGTTATTATTGTTTGATGGACTGGATGTCAGCCATCTTGGCAGCCATTTTGTGGTTGTATTAAAATCCAACAGTGCAGCTCAAGTCATCAAACATGTAAGACTACCTTTGTCTTGTGTGGGTCCTTACAATAACATCAAGTTGATTTAAATAAATTAAACTATCATAACAAAGAATGTATGATAAGATTTAAAATAAGATGGCCTTTTAAAATTTTGCATCATTTCATGAAACAGTAATATGCAAAACATATGGGCGTCATGCAGATGAGTGAGCCGATGATGTCAAATAAAAGGGAGCAATTCTTTATAATCACATATAAATTGAATTATATATACCTCTCTTTAGAAATTTAGCCATCTGATTGGTCAAAATTGGAGTTGTGATTTTAGCCATGCCCGCCTACCAGTCAATAGTCTTTAAAAAAATGCCCGCATACCGGTCAATAGATTTTTTTTAAAGATGCCCGTATCTAAATGGCGCATAAATACATTTTGCTGAGATCCCCATTGGTTTATGTGTAAAAAAATTCTTTGAGCGAGCGCAGATACCATACATTTTTTTTGGTGTGATCTTCCTCTGTGCAGATTGATGTTTGTTTCTTCCGTACATACAATTTAGTACATATGTACCAAGAATGATGAACGGAACACCATCATTTGGAACAATGGATGAGCCGGACTTCGTTGTGAAATTGAATCTTACACAGTGAGACTTCAAGGCAAGACCTTTGAAAGAAAGATAAGCAAAACAATAATTATTGGCAAGACTTCATTGCCCGTACAGAGATCTAAAACCAATAATTATTGGCGGGACTTCATTTCAGATACGAAGATCAGAAAACAATATATGTATATTGACAAGACTTTGTTGTCCGTAAGGAGATCAGAAAATGATAATTATCTGGACTTCATTGCCCGTACGGAGTTGTAAAAAACAGTAATTATTGGCAAGACTTTGTTGCCCGTACGAGATCTAAAATCAATTATTAGTAGTTAGATTTTGTTGCCCGTACAGAGATCCAACAAAAAAAATTATTGGCAAGACTGCGTTGCCGGTACGGAGATCTAACAAAAAAAATTATTGGCAAGACTGCGTTGCCGGTACGGAGATCTAACAACAAAAATTATTGGCAAGACTGCGTTGCCGGTACGGAGATCTAAAAACGATAATTATTTGGACTTCATTGCCCGTACGGAGAGCTAACAACAAAAATTATTGGCAAGACTTTGTTGCCAGTACGGAGATCTAAAAATAATAATTGTTGAGGCTTCGTTGCCAGTATGGAGATCAGAAAACAATAATTATTGGCAAGACTTTGTTGCCCGTACGGAGATCTAAAACCAATTATTATTGGCAAAAATTTGTTGCTTGCACAGAGATCTAAAAACGATAATTATTGGCGGAACTTCATTTCCGATACTGAGATCAGAAAACAATAATTATTGGCAATACTTCGTTGCCCATACAGAGAAGCCCTAACGAAGATCAATAAACAATAATTATTGGCAAGATTTTGTTGCCCGTACGGAGATCTAAGAAACAATATATATTGACAAGACTTTGTTGCCCGTACGGATATCTGAAATCAATTATTATTGGCAAGACTTTGTTGCTTGCAGGGAGATCTAAAAACAATAATTATTGGCCGGACTTCATTGCCTGCACAGAGATCAGAAAACAATAATTATTGGCAAGAATTTGTTGCTAATACAGAACTCCTTGCCGATACAGAGATCTGAAAACATTATGTCTTTATCGAAATGACTGAATACTTGAGAATTTAAACACATGTAAAAATATGTTAACTAAGTGCATGCTTATTGCTCTTATACTTATTTAAGACATTTCTAGTGTCCTTTTAGGACTTAAAATTGCTATGAAGGTAATTTTAGACTCCTAAATGTGTGAAATATAGCCAGTACGATCATACAAATTCAGCTCTACTTACAAACAAAGAATGACATAAGAGAAGGTGAAAGAAGGAAGATACAAAGAATAACATAAGAAAAAGACAGAAAAAGAAGGTTATAGAAGGAAGAAACAAAGAATAACATAAGGAAAGACAGAAAGAGAAAGCGATAGAATGATAAAAACAGAGAACAACATAAGGAAAGACAGAAAAAGAAAGTGATAGAATGATAATAACAGAGAATAATATAAGAGAAAGTGAAAGAAGCAAAAAACAAAGAATAACATAAGGAAAGACAGAAAGAGAAGGTTATAGAAGGAAGAAACAAAGAATAACATAAGGAAAGACAGAAAAAGAAAGTGATAGAATGATAATAACAGAGAATAATATAATAGAAATTGAAAGAAGCAAAAAACAAAGAATAACATAAGGAAAGACAGAAAAAGAAAGTGATAGAATGATAAAAAACAAAGAATAATATAAGAGAAAGTGAAAGAAGCAAAAACAAAGAATAACATAAGAGAAGATGACTGAAGAAAGAAACAAAGAATAACATAAGGAAAGACAGAAAGAGAAAGTGATACAATATAGAAGAAAATGGAAAGAAAGAAGAGAAGATGAATGTTAGAAAAACAAAGAATAACATAAGGAAAGACAGAAAGAGAAAGTGATAGAATGATAATAAACAAAGAACAACATAAGAGAAGATGATAAAAGGAATTACAACCACAAAATGGCTGCCAAGATGGCTGACATGCAGTCCATGAAACAATAATCACCAATCACAAGATTGGACAATAAGTAAGTAACCAATAGAGAAGCTTGTAAAAGATAGAGTGCCATGTGCATATAGTGTGCTGGGTTGAATAGGCAATAGATAGGAAGAGTGTGTGTGTGTGTGTGGTGCTATAGCAGGTAATGTGCATGAGGATGAATGAATAGGGACAGAACAATAGAAGCCAAGAGCTAGCAGACATGAGAGAATGAATGTAGGTCAGGAGTGCGCTGAAGCATATTGGAGTGGAAAGCTAAATGTACAGTGCAAAATAAACAAGTAACCACTTGGATCAGTGAAATTAAAACCTTACATAATATTCCATCTTCACAGAAAAATGTCCTCATTTTAAAAGATACTTTGTATGAACATGCATTTGTTTCCGAAGAAAATGAGTCACATAAAACTAGCTTGAAATACCTGATCAAATCAAATCATGTAGTTTTCCTTCTGTACAATTCTCTCTTTTTTTTTTTTTTTTTTAAAGAAACAGCATCTATTCATATTAGGGAAAATTAAACTGTTCAAAATGAAAGGTCATACATATAGCAAATACAAAATAATGGTATGCTTTCATCAAAGAACATCTTCGAAACAACTTCCTAACTTCAACGGGTCCTATCCTTTTTCACCCTGAAAATTCCAGTCTGATGATTTGTAGACATAAACTCTAAATAATTTCCTTTTTTTCCTGTTTCTGTCATAAATGACAAAATATCAAATATTTCATACCCAATTTGGCAATTTTCGACAAAAACTATAAACAAAATACATAGCAATGTCTTCACCTAAAAAAAAATATATCACTGTTTCGTGAATCACTGTTAATTTTTTTGTTTTTTTTGTTGAATAAGTTAGCCAATTGAATAATGAAATACAATGTACACAGAGAATATGCATGCTTTCCGACATAACTCTTTCCAAACTGTCTCAGATTTAAGGAGACATACAAATACAGTGTCTATGGTCGATACAATCTTGACTACAAATGATTAATGCAATGAAAAAACACATCGTATGAATTCATGTATCGAGAATCTGTTTTAAATCCAACTATCTGAAAACATTAATATAGGTCAAATGACTAAAAATAATGTTCAGAAAATAATGTACCCATGTACATAAACACACATTGACTAATTACATCAATTCTTTTGACACATTTATATAGTCATCGTTGTAAAATAATTCAGGTCAACCCTGTGACCAATACAATCTGAATCTCACATTTTTTTTTTTTTGGTATCTTAAAATTCAGCACAATTGCAAAATTGCAATCAAAATTGACATTTTAGTCTTTTTTTCTGTAAAATAAAAAATAGGAGCAAAAATGAGTTCACCCAATTGATGTGTAACTAACAAATTTGATGGAAAAACACATGACAAAATGTTTGACAGTTTGTCTTCTTCTTTTTCCCGTCTAAACATTAAAAAACCATTTAATCCTATCGTTACGGACAATTCCTACAAAAAATATCATAAACCTTCCAAAACGTTCCCAAATCAACAATTCCCTCAATAACATATTGTCACAAACAATGTAGCAATGCAAGGTATGACAGAGAAAAGTTAAAATCAGCATGTCTTCCAATTATCTATCACTATTGCAAACATTATTTCTCAAAAGTCTTTACAGTTCGTAATCTTGAAACTTGGCGGGTACTTTAACCTGTCGACCAGATCTCGAACGTGCGGATGAGGACGGCTGAGGTTGGGGTTGGTTAGCGGATGAGGATGGCTGATGTTGGGGTTGGTCAGCGGATGAGGACGGCTGATGTTGGGGTTGGTCAGCGGATGAGGACGGCTGATGTTTGGGTTGGTCAGCGGATGAGGACGGCTGATGTTGGGG